GATGCGGAGAGAGGCGTGTGCGCACAGTGTGTTGTATGGAGGTCAGAACAGCTTTGATGTGTGATGCGGAGAGGGGCGTGTGCGCACAGTATGTTGTGTGGAAGTCAGAGGACAGCTTTGGAGTTGTTCTCTCATTTCACATTTCATTCTGGGGATCCAGCTCAGGTTGCCAGTCTTGTACAACAAACACTTTACTCACTGAGCTATCTCACCAGCCCCAGATAGGCAATATTTTTTAATAGATTTTTCTGTAGCCACAAATGAGTAAAATGAATAAGAAATTTCTTTCCTTCCTTCTGTTTGCTTGGTTTGGTTTTGGTTTTTCAAGACAGGATTTCTCCATATAACAGCCCTGACTGTCCTGGAATTCACTCTATAGACTAGGCTGGCCTACAGAGGTCCACCTTTCTATAAACTCTTCCCCCCTCCCCCTGTGCTGGGACTAAATGTGTGTACTACTATGCATTTGAAGAAATTTCTTATGAAGGCTGAGAGGAAGTACATTATATTTTTTTGAGAATAAGTTTTTGCTACCTCAAACTCATAGGTAAGTCGCCAGTGAGCCCAGAAATTCAGTTTTCTCCACCTCCCAGTACTAGAATTAGAAGCGTGTGCCCACCATGGGCTCTTGGGATTAAACTCAGATCCTGTAATTGGAAAACAGGCACTTTACTGACTTGAGCTGTCTTCTCAGGTCCCTACACTACCTACTTTTTCCAGTGGGCAGAGAGCCTGTGTCGGGGAAAGGCAACTCCTCCATTCAGTAGTGGCATACTATCTGCATGTGGAGTGATGACTTTTAAACTACATTGGTAACAGCATGTGTTGAGATGTGCACCAATTACTTGGTGATAATCATGCCAGAGACCATGTAGAAACAGCAGTCTTTGTGTGAGGCCTTACTTCATTTGGTAAAGGCTCTCAAGAGGGCGCAGATAAAAAGCAGGATGGACAAGAGGGTGACAAGCTGAACCAGAAGAGAATAACCCTAACAGTAGCAGAGACTGAAAGAATAGCAAGGATGTTTGAGATGAGAGTGGTTTGGATTATATCAAGAACGTTTGGCTTTTTCCAAGAGCTAGAAGCTTTAAATACCACAGTTTTGTTTGAGCTGTTATTTGCCAAACTTACCCAACCATAAGACCTGGGGGTTCTTGTTCAGAAATACAGGTCGACATCTTCCCAGTCTTAGGTGCCTAGGAGAAAAGCATTTCCAGCAAGAACTCCAGGTGATTTATGTTCTTAGCCAAATTTAGGAAACACCAATTTAAGCCAATTCAGTAAGTCTTATTGTTGACAAGTTGTTACAATTTTAAACTAATGTGTTATGGAATTTTCATGTATGAATAATAGAAAATACTATGCTATGTGGCAATGGGAGTATGATAAATATGCATGTTGACAGGCTGTCACATTTTAGAATGAATGGCTTATCCTTTGTGTATAATTTCCCCATATTGTGAATGAATTAAATTTCATAATGGAGAAGACCCATTCAAAACTAGCAGTGTTTATGCTCCTGACAGCCACCTCTGGCTCCCTCCTCCAACCCCACCCCATTCCACCACCTTTCTCTTTCTCTCACCCTATTTTTGCTTGCATTTTCCTTTCTTCCTCTTATTTTTTCCTTTACGCCTCAGAAAGTGCAGGTCTGCATGACCCTAAGGCCTCAGGCATGCTTAGAGTTTGCTAAGTGTAAAGTGCACAGCAGAGCAGATGGCCAGGCCGCTGTTCCCATTAGCTCCGAAGCTTGATTTTCCTTTCCAGTTCTCACTTGTGTTAACTTGCAGTGGCCCGAACTTGACAACATTTCCTACTTGGTTCTAAATCTGATCTTATGTACCAACTTCCAAGCCAAATAACCCTTCCTAGTAAAGGCCTCATCCTCAGTAACTCCTTACCCCAGTCTTTAAATTAGATGTTTTCAGGTACTTCTCCATAAGTACCTTTACCCTAGGGGCTCAGTATCGTAGCTGCAATAAACCCAAAGAGTTTGAGCATAAAATAAATACACAGTTGTGGGGATCATGGTTTTCTTTGTTTTGCATCCCTATCCCAAAGGTGCTTTCTAGTTTGTAGATTGTCTAACTGTGCACTCTTAGTGTAGTCAATATTTCCTGCCCGTTCTCTCCCCCTTGTGGGAATATACATTTCCAGAGGAGACTTCTACCTAACAATAAATACTTAAATATGCTTTAAAGTCCTAAAGCTTCTCCAGCTGTCTTAGTGTAGTTCATGTCATGGATTTTATCCAAGGCTAATAAAGTTGTACCTAATTCTGCTGCTAAATGAAGTTTCAAATCTCTGCTTGTTGTTTAATCTTTAAACAACTGGAATGTGTTGGGGCTGGAAAAGTGGCTCAACGCTTGAGTTCTTGCTGTTCTTCCAGAGACCCTAGGTTCGTTCCCAGCACCCACATGGCAATTCAGAACCATCTCTAAATCCAGGTTCAGGATCTGATGTCCTCTTCTGGCCTCTGCAAGAACCCACACAAGCAGGGCAGGCACACATACACACATATGCGCGTGCAGTAGAAAATAAATGTTAAAAACCATACGTAGACTAGGATTCTTGCTTTAAAAAGCACAAACCATTATAAACTTTGAAAAAGTTTATGATCTCAGAGTGAAGCAATTCAGAAAGCAAAGACTTGAACTTGCAGTAACTCTAAAGTTCAAGGCCAGCCAGGGTACGTAGAAGATCTAAGACTAGCTAGGCGAGTCAGAAGCACTGGGAAAGCTGAGGGAGCAGATCCCTGCCAGGACTATCGGAATACGGGATGGCACCAAGGGACCGAATTTCTGCTGAAGACCTCACAGTTCGTAGACTTGAGAGCAGATGCCACAGCTTTTCTCTTCAAGAGAAAAGTCCTCTGTAAAAAGGACTCAGAGCCTACTGGCTTCTCTTACTTGCCCTTGGGCGCATTCCATCCTGGTCTTTCTAATCTCTTTGCAGGCCTTCTGCTTCCTGCCTCCTTGTTTTCTCTTGTGAGCATCTTTAGATTTTCTTAGTTACTTTTCAGGCTCAAATAGTAACCAGGACAGCCTGCTGGGCATTAGAGACTGGCTATCAAAGTCGGACAGACTGGGCTTTTGTTCTAGTCACAGAAGGAGGGAGTTGTATTTGCTTGGCTCTAGACTATCTGCTCCATGTCCCAGCATAGACTTCTCACACACTGTAAGCAGGCTGCACAGTCACCGAGGGCACGTGTGCTGGTGAGGTGATGGGTGCACCACTAGAGAAGCACACACCTCGCTTCCATCTCTATCAGGCCTTCTTTCGTGCCTCTTGTTAAGACTTGGAAACTTCTCCTACTTCAGGGATCAGAACAGCTTAAATTAGACCATCATCTGGAAGACAGCAGCCTCTCCTCTTAATACTTTCTTCCTCTTTCTATCTTTTATTCATCCTACTCCTTATTCACTAATCGGGATAAAGCTATTTCAAACGAGTTGTCCCAGGAATTGGTTACAGTTTCTCAACTGCTGATTCTGCCCCTCTCTCTAAGTTCTAACCCCAAAGCATAACCACTCCTGTCCCCTCGCCCCTTGTCTAGCTCTTCTCTATCCTAGATACCTTCCCCTGGCACTCTCATCCCCTCTTCTCTGAGCATCCCCACACCATGCGCAGCTGCTGAACATGCCTGCTTTCTTGAACCCTCGTTCTAAAAGCATGGCTCCTCCTCTTCTCCATTGCCCCATCCCCACTGCTGCCAAGATCACCTGCTTGCCTGCCCTTTGATTTCTCTCTCAAGCCAGTAAGACGGTCTTCAAGCTTTAGGGGGGGAGACTCCTCCCAGCTGTCTCCTCTACCTGTGTGCGTATTACTTTATTCTTGCTTGTAACTCTGTCTCTTGCCATAAGGCAAACAAGGAAGTTAATTACTCCTTGAACTTAGCCTGGTCACAGACTTCCACATACAACCCGTCCTTCTGGGAAATAATGTTCTAAGACAAGCTTCTTCTCTCCCTCCTTTGCCTTGAAGTTGTTTGAGAAATTGGCAGTGCATGTTTGTGCATAATCCCATTATCCGTCTTATTCTATACACAGTCCGTAGCTACTGCATGGCTCTCTTTTCTTTCTTTTTTCTTTTATTTTTGGTTTTTGGTTTTTTGAGAGTAGCCTTGGAGCCTGTCCTGGAACTCACTCTGTAGACCAGGCTGACCTCAAGCTCATAGAGATCCATCTGTCTCTGCTTCCCGAGTGCTGGGATTAAAGGCGTGCGCCACCACTACCCAGCTCCCTTTTCTTCCTTTTAAGACAAAATCACTCACTGTCCTGAAACTTGGCGGATAGTCTAGACTCGCTGTTCAGGGAACCCCAAGGATCCTTCCATCTCTGTGTCCCCCGTCCTCAGCTACATTTTAGTCAAGCATTTGCTGTCCTGGTTGAGGACTGACCCTTAGGACCACCTTGCTTTGGAGAAATGTGCCTTAACTTCTGTCTGGGTAACTACCCCTGCTGTCCTGGAACTCACAGAGTTCCTCCTGCCTCTGCCTCTGCCTCTGCCTCTGAGTGCTGGGATTAAAGGCATGCACTGCCATCATCCAGATGAAATAAAAATTTTTTAAAGGTGGAAAAAAAATATCAAACCCATTTTGTAAGCCTTCTAGAATGTCTTTGGTTACCAAGGAAAGACAAAATTTTGAAAAGTTGAAGAATGTGGAAGGTACTTTATATGTTTTTATTTTTTTTTTTACCAAATTTCAAAAGACATGCTGCAATGGCAGATACTGAAAACATGGATTACCATTCAAGGCTGAATTTAGGTAAAAATGTTTATTTTTAAAGTTTTGAACAGAAACTGCTGGCTAAGCCATGCAAGTGTGTATCAGCCCTGCTGATAGAAGGTTGTTCAGACCCGAGCCGTGGCACTGCAGCTGAGTGGCGGCAGTTTCTGCTCAGATCTACAGTGGCCCTTCCCCTTCCATGTTGAATCCTGATCGCTGGCAGTGTCTCCCAGCAACCGTGTACTGACCCTCTCGCCTTATTTCCTTGCAGATTTGTCCGATATGTGCAGCGTTACCTGGAGGCGATCCTAATCATGTCACAGATGACTTCGCAGCTCATCTGACACTTGAACACAGAGCCCCTAGAGATTTAATATCCTTCCAGGGGGCAGCATGTGAGGGTTTGTTGGTGATGTTGGTGATTTGTTTTTAAAAATTGTATTCTCAGAGAAAAAGAAACTAATCTTCAGGTTATTTTTAGTTACTTGACCTTTTCATAAAAGTGACTTTATTGCTGGGCAGTGATGGCACAATCCTTTAATCCCAGCACTCAGGAGCAGAGGCAGGCGGATCTCTGTGAGTTCAAGGCCAGCCTGGTCTACAAGAGCTAGTTCCAGGATAGGCTCCAAAGCTACAGAGAAACCTTGTCTCAAACTCCCCCTCCCCCAAAAAAAGAAAGAAAAAAGAAAAAGTGACTTTTGTAGACTCATTCTTCGGCTCATTCTTCGGCTTTCAGGTTATAAATTGTCTTCTAAATCTGTCATCCACTAGAATTCTATTTGCATTCAAAGTTCCTCACCTTTCTGTCTGCCAGACTTTCCTTCCCATTCCATAGTCCAGGCGTGGGCTTATTGGGGAGCAAACTGATGGTTGTTGTTTCAGTCTGTAGCTCTGATTCTTGCTCACAGTTGCCAGTTTTCTAATTGGAGATACAACTTCTTAGGGGAAGGTGAACATTAACAGAAAGATGAAGAAGACGGAACAAACCTGAGAACAGTAGGAGCATTGGGACCTCCCCACCATGTGCAGAACACACCAAAAGCAGAGGTCTTTGTAGAACTGGTTGACCTCTGACTCATAGATCCACCTGCCTCTGCTTCCTGAGCTCTGAGATTTAAAGGCATGCGCCTTCACACCCACCAGGATTTTTTTTTTTAAATAAGTGTGAAAAAATTTGAGCTAGAAATGTGGCTCATTTAAGGACAGGGTGGTGTAGGTACTCTTAGTGGACTCCGGTTCAATTTCCAGCATTCACATGGGTGCTTACAACCATCTGTTACTCTCGACCTCCATAGGCAAGAGACAATGCACATGTTCACAGACATCCATGCAGGCAAAACACCCATACATGAATTCCCGCCCCAGTCCCTACCCCTGAGACACGGTTTCTCTGTGTAGCTGCCCTTGCTGTTCTGGAACTCACTTTGTAGACCAGGCTGGCCTTGAACTCACAGAGTTCCACCTGCTTCTGCCTCTGCCTCCTCAGTGCTGGGATTAAAGGCATACACCACCATCACCCAGCTAAAATAAAACTTTTTTAATGATGGAAAAAAATGATCAAACCTGTTTTTAAGCCTTCTAGAATGCCTTTGGTTACCAAGGAAAGACAAAATTTTGAAAAGTTGAAGAATGTGGAAGGTACTTTATATGTTTTTATTTTTTACCAAATTTCAAAAGACAAATACTACAGTGACAGATACTGAAAACACTAGGAGTTTTAAGGTGCCTCCAGCATCGTGATGTTCTGGTTTTTACCACCAGTGTCTAGAGTGACTGTGGACAGCAATCATTTCCTCGCTGTCGATGAATTTCTTCCTAAAATTGCCATTTCCACCCAACAACCTCTTAGTGGCACTATCGATGGATGACCTTCTGTAGACCCCAAACTCATCCCGGGCACCAGGAGACCCTGTGCATTGAACCGCCTTAAGCAGAGCTGCTCACCCTGTCCTTAAATGACTCCAGAACTAACAGCCAAGAAGCCAGCAAGGAAATTGCCATTATAAAGTTGTTGCTTGCCTCTGGAAGTACAAGACTGTTGATTGGTTTTTCGAGACAGAGTTTTTCTCGAACTCAATCTGTACACCAGGCTGGCCTTGAACTCACAAAGATCTTCTATGGTCCTGGGATTAAAGGCATGAGCCACTACTGTCTAGGTTTGGTTTGGTTTGTCTTTTTATGTTTTTCCAACTGTTTGCTACACATGACCTTGTGTTTAACTGACATTCAACTCTTGAGAAACCTGAGGCTTCTAGAGTCTGCTTGAAGAGTGTCATGTTAATCTGTATGTTTAATGGTACACCAGTATTTTCTGTTTAGCAGCAGCACTGGGAATAAGTTGACAGAGATTAACGCTGACATAGAAACTAGCTTTCATCTACAGAATTCGATTATTCAGCTTGTTCTTTTTCATTGTAGAAGATGTGTTTCACGAGCTGTTTACTGATAATAAAATTCAACATTAAGATGGCGTTAGATATTTGACCAAGTGTCTCTTTTGACCTTGTTCATACATTGCTTTTTTCTATTTGATTGTATTTGTCTTTTTTTTTTTTTTTTGAGTCTGTCCTCACTGTGTAGCAGCCCAGGCTAGCCTCAAACTCTTGTCTTCCAGCCTTAGCCTCCTAAGAGTTAGGGTTATAGGCATGTACTATCATGCCCCATTTATACCTGTTGCTTTATATTTTGAGTTTTCTTTTTTTAGGGTTAACAGCCTCATAGAGTTGAAACTTTTATATTCTAAGATAAAGGTGCTATTTTAAGCTACTTACAATTTAGGAATTCCCAGCTATTGAGAGCTCAAATGTTTGTTGTTTCTTCTTCTTGTAAAATATTCTTTCCTTAACTGTTGAGTTACGATGAATCGAGTGGTGTTCGGCATGTACGTAGAATGTTTCACCCTGGCCGGGGGCTGGGAGGCCCTCGCGCCCGTAGATCAAACATGCACTTTACTAGCAGCTCCACTGGCGGGCTCTCCTCTTCGCAGAGCTCCTACTCTCCAAGCAGTAGGGAAGCCATGGATCCTATAGCTGGTAAGTTGGTTTCCACTTCTTAGTGGCAAGGGCAGGGTGTGGGGATCTCCTTTAAAGATGTCTTGTGTGGTATGTGTTCTACTTTAGCACTTGGTCCTGCGCTTGCATCCTTCCAAATATTTAAAAGTCTGACCTTGTAAGTGGGCGGTATAAGGGAGTCCATGTGCTACTGTCTTTCTCTAAGGGGTTAGGGGAGAAGATGACACAGAAGAAGGTCTCTAGGAAAGATTTCAGAGTGAAGAAGGCCTCCAGAATTCCTTCTCAGGTACCAAGGAACTCAGTTGCCTCTTGGAGGAAAGTAGGAATGGGCATCCTGGTTTGAGACCTTTATTGTTGTAGAACGTACTAAAAGATGATGCTGCAACAACGTGAGCAGCTCCACTAAAACAAGAGTCTGGGTTGAATAGACCAGAGTCCAGCACTGTGGGTGGGGAGGACTGGCCTTGCAGAGCAATGACAAGTGTTCTGGAACAGCAGCATCCAAGGATACTAGCAAGGCTGAAGCCAGAATGTAAGGCCACGCTTAGAAATGTTCTGCGTTCTGGGATTTCACCCTTGTAATTCCTCTGGTTAAATGATCAGAGATGAGTGAATGCTGATGACGGGTACTGGACCCTGTTCTGAGAGCAGGAACTAGAGTAAACAGAGGCTTGACCTTCATTCATGCTGCTTCTATTAAGAGGTCTTGGCTGTGATCGCACTTGTAGGTGGAGCTTCAATCTAAATAAGTAGTGTAGGTGTACTTTATGTAATAATGTTCTCTTAAGTTCTGCCTAAAGCAGACATAATTGTATGTTGGAATTGGGTCCCTGGGTCATGAGTATGTTCCACTGTTCACTTGATTTTCTCCACTGAAAGAGTGACATGTAGCACTTGGTTTTCCTGAGTCAAGTTGATGAGTTGTCTCCATTTCCATTGGCAGAGCTGTTATCTCAGTTATCAGGAGTGAGACGTTCTGCAGGAGGACAGCTTAACTCTTCAGGCCCTTCCGCTTCTCAGTTGCAACAATTGCAGATGCAGCTGCAACTTGAGCGGCAGCATGCGCAGGCAGCACGGCAACAACTGGAGACAGCTCGCAACGCAAGCCGGCGCACTAACACAAGCAGCGTCACCACTACAATCACACAGTCCACGGCCACAGCCAACACAGCCAACACGGAGAACAGCCAACAGGCTCTCCAGAACTCCCAGTTTCTATTAACGAGGTATTTCTTTATGTCATAGATGGGTTGGAGAAATAAGGTTTCGTTAGCACTGTCCAGTCTAGTAAGCTGTTCCTTTTTATGTATGTAAATACATCTGCTTAAAAACTCTACTTTTGAGCCAGGCAGTGGTGGCGTGCGCCTTTAATCCCAGTACTCGGGAGGCAGAGGCAGGCAGATCTCTGTGAGTTTGGGGCCAGCCTGGTCTAAGAGTGAGTTCCAGGACAGGTAGGGCTGTTACACAGAGAGTCCCTGTCTCAAAAAACAAAACAAAAAAGCAAAACCTCTGCGTTTGATGAGACCATTACAACTCACAGTTCTTCAGTAAAAATCCCATATTTAAATATTTTCCAGGAATATGGAAAACTAATATTTCAGATAAAGTAAATAAATATGTTGATCTTTGTGTTCATAAGTTATAGATCATCATTGAAAATATTTTTCTTTCTTGTACTATACTTAACAGTTAAAACAGTGTCGTTTGTATTAATATGTTCTATCAGCTAAATTTATTTCGTAATTAATGTTGTTTGTGATTTTCCATTAGAGTCTGCTTAGATGTATCAGAACAAAAGAGGGTTAAGGAGATGGCTCAGTGGGTAGAGTGCTGGGTAGAGTGCTTACTGCATCAGCCTGAGAACCTAAGTTCAGATCCCAGCACCTATAAACAGTAGTATGTTTCTGTTACCTCGCCCCGGGAGGTCGAAGGATCCTGGGGTGCTCACTGACCACGTCTAGGCAGTTGGGAGCTTCAGATCTAATTGAGAAACAGTGTCTTGAAGGATAAGAGCAGTAGAGATGCCCAATGCCAACCTCGCTTTCACAAACTGAACAGTTGTAATACATACACATACATACCACATATATGGATAGGTACAAGAACAAAGGTGTTCATAATATGGAGGTTTTCTTTTAGGACTTCCCAAAGTTAGATTTAAATTCTTAAAGTTAGTACCCTAAATTAACTTTTAAAAATGGCTTATCAGGGTATCAGTAATACTCAGTATATATAGTGAAATCTCCTTACACTGACTGAAGTTTTGTGCTTCTAAAACTGCAGTGGAGAGTTGGGGTGTGGCTCTGTTACAGAGTACTTGCCTAGCGTGCACAGTGCTGCAGTCTGTAATCCGAGCACTGGCCTGGAGTGCCAGCGCAGAAAGGTCAAGGATGGCCTTCCACATTACCAAAGGGACTAGACAGGCGACTCAGAAAGCCTTGCTGTTCCTTTTGAGCACTTGGGTATAAATCTTTTTACTGCATGAAAACCAGTACATGAAAAACTTAGTTTGGGATTATCTTGGTAACGTGGAGGCAAGAAGATCAGTTCAAGGTCATCCTCAGCTTTCTAACGAGTTTGACTACATGAGAATCAAGTCTATAAACTACAATGTGCACAACAATTCTTTGAGACCTTAGAAGAAACTGCTATAATTTCTACTTATTCTTTCATCTCACACTTAAATCACTGGCATAGGTAGGAATACTGTGTAGACGTAGAATGACAAATGTTTGGGGACCTCTGGTTCAGAGCTCCAACTTTGGTACTTAATACATTTAGCCTTTAGACAGTCACTTATCTTCAGACTTCAGTTTTATCATCAGTGTCCCACCCAGGAGTCCAACCACTTATGAAAGGATTATTAAAAATACTTGTCATTCATTGTGAATTTAAGGAGGCGTTTGTCCTAAGGTGAGCAAGTGCTGTCTTGCCACTAGACTGTGAGTGACGTAGTATAAGGAGATTTGCGCCTTTCTACAGAGACTGGACAACACCACCTGAAACACACCTGCCAGGGTGTGTCTTCCCGGAGAGTTAGTTGCTCTCTGGGTGGAATAGCTTGCCAGGAAAAGGAAGTCTTCCAGACAGGTGCATGTCTATAATCCAGCTCTCTGGAAGCTGAAGCCAGAGGATAATGAGTTCAAAGCCAATCTGTGCTATGTACTGCAAGATCCTCCATCAAAAAAATAAAAAAGAGAGCTAGGTGGTGGTGGTACACACCTTTAATCCCAGCATTCCAGAGGCTGTGGCAGTCAGAATCTCTCTGAGTTGGAGGCCAGCCTGGTGTACAGAGTGAGTTCCAGGACAGCCAAGGCTGTTACACAGAAACCTTGTCTCAAAAAACAGGGAGGGGGCTGGAGAAATGGGTCGGTGTGGCTAAGAACACCAGCTGTTTCTGTCGAGGACCAGAGTGCCGTTTCCAGCGCTTACCTCAGGAGGCTCACAAGATCCTGTAACTCCAGCTCCATGGTATCCAGCGCCCTCTTCTGGCCTCTATGGACACTTGCACTCCATACATGTAATTTTTTAAAAAGTCAAAAAGATACTGCCCTATCTTGGGGGGGAGAGGGGGTGTCTTTTAAAAACCCAAACTACTCAGTGGGTTTAGTCTTGTTGGACCCTAGAGTCCAGTCACCAAGGAGGAATTGCCCCAGGAGACCATCTTTCACACTACAGCTGATATAAAAGCATGAGGATTTTATTAATTCTGTCATGGCAGGGTCTTTCAGCACTTAGGGGGGCCAGAAAGACCCGGAATAGCTGGTACGGGTTATTTTTAAAAGAAAGGGGGCTTGGGGGGGTGTTGTCCTATTATGATTGGCTTATTCAAAAGGGCTATTACCAATAATTGGCTGGAGAGTGGTTGTCAGATCAGATGAGGTAGAGAAAACATCTGAGGGTCGCTGTGCCCTTTCCCAGGGCCTGAGTCAAAACATCAGTAACTGAGTCAACACCTAAGGGTTATCTTGCCCCTATTCAGGGAGATGCAAAGTTCCCAACATCTTCTCGGTATGTGCATGTGTAGTTGTTGGGTCCCCCCCCCCCGCGCCGCCGGGGCGGGCAGTACTACTGCTGAGACTGAGAGGGCTCAGAATTGTCTTAAAGTTTTACAGTCTGAGGTGGTTTTTTTTCTGTATTTTTTAAAAAATTTACCTGAGCATACATGGGCATCTTAGTGCTGCGCTTAGACTCAGGCTGTACCTTCTGGAAGCTATGTGTATCCTAATGCCCTGCAGCTTGCACACTGTCTTCCACTACTGCCCTCTTCTCCCCACCCCTTCCAAAGCAGAGTCTCCGCACATGGCCTAGGCTGGCCTTGAACTCTTATTCATTCCTTGGCTTCCAGGAACTGGGTATGGTAAAATATGCCTATAATCTCAGCATTTTTTCTTTTTCCCCTGGTTATTTTGAGACAGGGTTTCTCTGTGTAGCTTTGGAGCCTGTCCTGGAACTGGCCCTTATAGACCAGGCTGGCCTCAAACTCACAGAGATCTGCCTGCCTCTGCCTCTAAAAGTACTGGGATTAAAGGTGTGTGCCACCACCGCCCAGCAATCCCAGCATTTTGAAGGTAAAGGCAGGAAAGTAAAGAATTCAGGATAATCCTTGGTAACTTAGTTGTTAGAGGCCAAATTTATTTGTTGTTTGGAATTTGAGATACTAACATATGTAACCTTGAACCAGGAAAGCAACTGCAGCCTCTGCAGGGTCTTCTGCTCTGTGGGCAGATTCTGTGTGATGTGTGTATCTTATCCTGGAACTGACTGTAGGGACACAGTGGTTTCCAGGGAGATAGTTGACATGTTGAGAATTGATCGAGTGTTTAAGTCAGGGTTCTATCTCTTGATAATGACCAGCTAGTTGAGCTAACCCTAGTTTGAAGATCTTAAGTTGAGCAATTCTTTTTGAGTCTCAAACAAAACTGACCCACAGATTTTATCTGCCCCTCAAGAATTAGGCTTTTTTTTTTTTTTGCTACTTCCTCAAAGTTGGAACAGTATTAAGTTTGAATGATTTTCAACAGCCACTTCTTGACGTTTCTAGTTCATTTGACACTGTGTCTGCTCTCTATCCTGTATCCCTGTTACAGATTAGACTTCTAGATCCCTCCCCACACTGACCAAAGCTTTTCCAAAGCTGAGAACATAGGAAACAAGTCAGCTGATAGCACTCTGACGGTCGGGTTGGTCAGGCTCCAGTCTGCTAGTTCTCCCTGTGACGCTCTTAGAGTGCTCTTCACCACCGTTCCCTTTCAGCGTGGTTTTCGTGGCGTTTGAGTAACTGACTGCCCCCACATACTTTACCCCCTTTGAGTTCTGTAGTTTAGCTTTTCCCTTGTCTGAACCATAGATCTCATCATTCCCTGGTGGTGTTTAACTGAGACTTTGAGCAAGTTAGCGAATCTCTGCTTGAGTTTCCTCTTCCTGTAAAATGATAAATCCCAACCGCTGGGGCCAGAGTGATGCACACAGAGCCCAGAGTTGGGCCTGCTGTCAGTCACAGTGTGTGCTTCCCCTGTGATGTGGGGTGCCCTGCAGACAGCAGGAGCAGGTGCCCGTGGGCGAGCTGCCCAGGGGGCAGTGTGAGCTCGCCTGTGTTCTTAGGAAGGAATGCCTGTCGTGTGTGCGTGTGTGCGTCCTCAGCCCTCACTGCCCAATCCCCTCTGTTCTGCTCCTTTCCTGACCCAGTGCTGCAGCTGCTTGCTTACCTTGGCACTAAGACTGAAGAATAAGATCAATGCTGACGCTAAGCAAATTTCCCACAGTTGTTTGGGGATTTTTGTGTTTGGATTTGTTTGTTTTTCAAGACAGGGTTTCTCTTGTAACTTTTTGGAGCCTGTCCTGGAACTCACTACGTGGACCAGGCTGACCTTGAGCTCAGAGATCCACCTGCCTCTGCCTCCAGGATTAAAGGCCTGCACAACCACCGCCTTGCCCCACAGGTAAAATTAAGATTAGGATATCACCTCTTCCCAAGCGTAGGGTCTGTCGGAAGCAGATTTGTTTGTTTGTTTCCAGAAAGGTTTCCATCAGGCCTCTCTCCAGAGGTAGACTAGGCTGTCGGCTGGTTTTTGTTTCTGTGTTTGCTTGAACCCATTGAACACAGATTTTCAAGCCAGGAACATGGCTTCCACAGTGGGGGGTCTATCTGCACATGACCGCGACCAGTACGTTTGCTCATCCCATGCAAACTGTAGAAGTTGGCCTCCCTGTGCATTAGTCTTTGACTTTACCAATACAGTCTTTCTTCTTACTTGTACAGGTTGAATGATCCCAAAATGTCTGAAGCAGAGCGCCAGTCCATGGAAAGCGAGCGCGCAGACCGCAGCCTGTTTGTCCAGGAGCTCCTTCTGTCCACATTAGTGCGTGAAGAGAGCTCGTCCTCAGATGAGGACGAACGGGGGGAGATGGCAGATTTTGGTGCTATGGGCTGTGTAGATATTATGCCTTTAGATGTTGCTTTAGAAAACCTAAATTTAAAAGAGAGTAATAAAGGAAATGAGCCTCCACCACCTCCTCTTTGATGACCTCCCCACTCGCAGACAATGTCCTCTGTGCTGTATTTGCCAATGAAAGTGGACAACAGCTATCCTGGGTTTGTTTGGTGATTGTAATTTCAGGTCTGTCACTCTTGTTACATTGTGTACATTCAAAAGGAAGAAAGAAAATATATATGATAATCATTTCCACTTAACTAATTTTTACTTCTAGCAGGTAAATGTAGGTAGCAGTGCAGGGTGATCTCTGCTTCCTGTACCTTGACATGCAAAAGGCTCTCCTAATACTCCACATTCAAACTGAAGAGGAAATTGAAATCTCTAATGAAGCTGCTGTGTGTATTTATGAATATTAATGAATAAAAACTGCTTGGATGGTTTACCTAACTACTGCATGAGGTTTTTTGCAGCGTGCATGAGTTTCAGTGACCTTGTTATTTAAGAAAAATTAAATACAAGGAGTAAAACTTAAGAAATAAAATTTAAAAAAAATAAAGTACAAAGCCCAAAGCTTTTCCAACATTATTCAGTGGTTACAGGGCAGAGTAGCTTTTGAATAATATCTGCCTGACTCACCCTTATGTGTGCCTACTACGTACGCACAAAGCCCGCTCTGCAGTGAAACCTGGGGGTCCTAGCCAGGTGTGGCACTTCGCTGTGTGACTGTCCTGTTGCCTGTTAACCATCTTGTTCCTGCGGAGCCCAGCCTGTCTAACTCATCAGTAGAAGACAACAGTAAAGGCGGGGTGTGCTGCAGGGCATCTCTGTGCCCTTTAAACAAATATCATTTGTGTTTGTTGGAAGTTTTTACTTTTTGTGGTTGTTTAAAATTTTTTGATTGTTAAACATGTTCATTCAGGTGTAGATGGATTTCATTTCTTCACTGTTCAGCAGTTACCTGGATTATGTTTTCATGGTTTAAGAATCTCACATTCTCAATCATACTTTACGTTATTTATGTATTTGTAGTTTGCCGAGACAGATCAGTATCGGGAGCCCTGAGGACTTGCCTTCCCAGGTTTTGTCAACCAAATTCTTAATGCTAATTTTAGCACCTTTTATTTATTGGTGTTTTTTTTCCTGGCATAAAAAGTAAAGCCTTTTAATTAAATCATGCCACCTATATGCCTATTATTAATCCTGTATGTTAAAAAAAAAATAGAGCCTTCTTGGGTTGTTAGGGGGTTTGAAGGATGGGTGCTTTTATTTCAGTTTTTCACACTGAAAATAAAAAAAAAAAATAAAATAAAAAAGCTCCAGGAAGGGACAGCGGGTCTGAGGATGGGGGCAGTTTTTGGAATGTAACTTTAGGACTTTTCTAAAAAGTGCGCAGCTTCTGATAAATTTCTGACTATACTTAAACTAATCATGTCTGGCTCCGGTCCTCTTCCCTGGGAGCCCTTCTTTCTGTTGCTCTCCTCTCTCTCCGCCATCTTGTCCTTTCCTCTCTGTTTCTTCATGACAAGCATACAGACTTGAACCCCCCTGGGTGTTCTCAAGAACTGTGAAGTCCATGTTCATCCAAATGTACCAGAAAACAGAAGTCACCCTACATGTCTAAGAAACTGTTGCTTCTCCTCGGACACTTGAGACTCCACCGGCTGCACATCCAGTAGCTGTCTTCGTTGGTCTTGGGGTGGGAATGTTCTGAAGGGAAAACCTTGTGCCAGGCTTCTGTTATACTAGAAGTCAGGTCTAGTAGGATTTTCTCTTTTCATTGGTTGTTGGGGAGCTTGAGACGTCCGTTTCCCGCTGTGGTCGTTTCAGGAGCACCTGCACATCACTCACATTTCAATAAAGCGTTCTCAAGACTGTTGGCCCCTTGATTTCTTTGGTGTTGAATTAAGCTAACCGTTATTCAGAGGTTTGTTTTTTTAACATTTCTAATGGCAGTGTCATTTTGTTTTATTGTCTTACTTTTCGTGCTAACCGTGGAGATTCTGGTTTTTGTGAATGTATAACTTTGGGTGTGAGAAAGAGTAACTAACTGTCGGTTGTGTACTCGCCCTTTTCTGCACAAATTCTGGGAAAACCTAAAATCCTCCTTTTTTCAGCATGGTTCTAGGGAACAGCTAAAAGGTTCTTTAGGGCAGTTTAATTTAGAAGGTGACTTTAACCCTTCAGAAGGCCTAGTGGTTCGTAAGGTTCCATCTCATGTAGAATATTGTATATTAATTATTTTTATCAGATTTTTCCAAATACCTCACTCATCCTGTATGTAACCAATACTAATGTATTATTTTAGGATAGAAAGACACAGATTATCAATACAAAATATATTTAAGCCCTTGGAATTCTCGTGTCCTTTTTCTTTAGTTCCTGGATCCTCATATTGTTGGATGTAGTACTTGACTAAACAGGTTGCATAATTCTGCGGGAAGGGACCAGATCCCATTTTGAGAGCTCTACGCTATGAATTTGGAGTGTCCATGAGATAAATGTAGTCCTTCTACAGTTTTTGACTTCACTTCCTGTTTGAAATTAATTCTGCTCAAGATTTCCTAGAAGGAGGTTAATTTTATGATTTGTAAAATCAAAAAATGTGTAGACTTCAGAGTGTGTCTGTCGTGTCCTTGTGCCTCTGTGTGGTTTGCAGGGTGGACTGCAGTGCACTGAGACTCCCACTTCACCCCGGACGCCGGGACCTTGTGAAGGGACCCTGTGAGCAACCACAGGGAGTGTAGAACTTGGAGCATGGTGTTGACTCTTATCATGGTTTCAGTTCTTTTTCTCATCGACTTTCCTAAAATTATTCAACTCTAAGGAGTAGAGGCCGAGTAGAAATGGCTACTGCAGTGGAATCTAGCGTCTGTAGGTGGCACTGCAGTTCTGTGGGGCTGGAGAGATGGCTCAGAGGTTAAGAGTATTGCCTGCTCTTCCAAAGGTCCTGAGTTCAATTCCCGGCAACCACATGGTGGCTCACAACCATCTGTAATGAGGTCTGGTGCCCTCTTCTGGTCTGCAGACATACACACAGAATATTGTATACATAATAAATAAATAAATAAATGATACAATTCTGTGCTGGCTGCAGGGGAATCTAGCATCTGTAGGTGGCACTGCATAAGATACAGTTCTGTGCTGGCTGCAGGGGAATCGAGCATCTGTAGGTGGCATTGCTATTTTGTTTCACTTTAATTTGCAGGATTAGGACCTAGACTTGCTAAACCAAATAGTCAGGTGGTGGTTGGTTTGTTTTGGATTAGTTGGGTCGGTTTGTTTCTTGGGGTGCATCTTGTTTCCTTTTGTTTGGAGATAGGGTTAGATGTAACTCAGAAAGTGGCAGAGGACTTTGAGTCCCTAACCCAGTCTCCTTCCCAAATGCTGGGGTTACGTGCACAGCCACAAAGCGGTAGCGTTGGTTTTCGTTTGTTTGAGAGGCGTTCTCTGTAGATCAGGCTGGCCTCAAACTCAGAGATCTACTTGCCTCTGTCTCCACCCCTTGAGTGCTGGGATTAAACCACACTGGCCAAAGTAATGGATTCTTCTGTAAGAAATACTCATGACCTCCAAATAGAGTTTCGGATAGCCCGTGCCTTCTCAGCCCTTCATTTTCCCCTCTTGATATTTAAGTTTGGCATTTTCATTAGTAGCTAATAGGTTTTTAAAGGTCACCAAGTCTCTTGGGTCTTCTGATCTGTGGAAAGAAGAGTTGAGTTCTCTGGCTAGGTCCGAGCTCGTTCCCAGGAGAAGCTGGATATGACAGCAGAGTCCACTCGCTGTGTATTGTTCCTGCTGAGAAAGGCACAGACATCAGGCCTTCATAGTCCTGCTTAAGGCAATAAAGAAGTGGAAGGTAGACAGGGACTGGGGTGGTACAGATAGAAGAGGGTAAAGTAGGAGAAAGGGTTAGTGGTCATGTTGGAGATTGAAGCCTTGGGACTTTGGGAGTGGGATCCCTGCAATGGAAGGGGCTCACTGTAAAGATGTCACCTGTGATTGGCATCTGATGCAGGTGCTCAGCTCTGCAGCTCAGGTGTGCATTAAGGCATCCCTAGTATGATGGAGAGCATCAGCCTTAATAGTTCCCAAACATATATCCACTCTGTACAGGGAAAACACAGTAGCATTGTCAACTAATGCAACCTAGCCACAGTTTGGGGGACACACTGGTCCCATATACAGTTTCTTCCTGAAACTGTCACTCCAGATTGGTTTTAACGAAACAGTCCTGCCTGAGCCACCATATGCATCCACCTTGTTTTAGTTAGATTTTTTTTTTTTTTGAGACACCCTCCCAGAGTAAGTCAGGCTCCCTCAGCCACGCAGTTACTGAGATCACAGTGTGCTCTACACTCCACTTGCAAAAATCATTAATGCTTGCAGAAAGTAATGGTTATGCCTGGTCTCAGCCTCATGCTCCAAGATGGGAGACAGGGAATGTGAGCCAGCTCAGAAATAGCCTTGTGTTCAGTTGAGTGGAGAAGTTAGGGTGGAGTACAAGACTGCAGCCACACTCCGGTTAGGTGTGGCACTGGCATTAGACAGCCCCATTAGGTCATGGCTTTTCTGTTTTGCTTTCAGAACAGTGTAAAAATCTAATTTTTTTATGTTAGCAGCAGACATAAGTACCTTTCTGTCTTTGTCCTGAAACCGTGGTTTCTCTAGCTGAAGTCCCTCCCCCTGTCCATCCATGGCTTAGCAGTCGCTCTCTAAGGAATCCTTTTGCAAACAGATACTATGCTTCTGAGACCAGCAAATCTCTTCATTTGAGGCTAGCCTGGTCTACATAGTTCCAGGTAGGTCAGGGACACATGGTGAGGCCCTATGTTAGGAGATGAAAATTTGTTAACCATCTGCCTCCCAGAAAGACCTCTGCACATGAAGTGTTTGGGTGGATAGTGGTTCGATTGGTTTTCTTAACTACTGCAATGATTTGTTTGGAGGATCCATTGAGTCTGGTTTTGTGCCCCAGTGGCTCCTGACTCTGCAGCTGGTGGGCAAGTGTTTTATGAGCCATGCTTAATCTCATGCCCATAATCTGAGGTTGCTTCCTGCAGGCCTGGATGGTGGCTTTTCTAAGAGATCCTTCTGGTCACAAGGATCATCGTCTCCAGACTTCCCCTAGCAAGCAATGGCATGACTTCCTGTGTACAGGAGCCGCCCTTCCACGCCATCCGTGCATGTCCTTTACAGTGGGGTGGACCGGAGACACAGTTCTGTGTGCTGTCTACAGCAGCGGGGACCTCGCTACTGGAGCCTTCACCCTAGTGGAAGTCATGTTTGATTTTTTTTTTTTTTTGGTTGTTTGGTTTGGTTTTGGTTTTCCGGTGTTTTTTGTTTGGTTGGTTGCTTTTGCTTTTCCAAGCAGGGTTTCTCTGAGCCCTGGCCTTCCTCTCTAGACCAGGCTGGCCTCAACCGGGATACACCTCCCTCTGCTGGGATTA